CAGCAGCAGTTCTGTTAAGGGTAGCCATGTTGAACACAGCCTCCTGATAGGCCAGTTCTACTTCTTCTCTGGAGACCACCATGTTTATCATCCCATCTCTCAGGATTATGCAGCCACTGGTGGGCATTGACTGCAACCTGAGTTCCTAAGGGTTTGGTTAACACAAGTACATCCCCTACAACTGTACTGTCAGGCATTATGAATTCATTAGGCTGACATACCACAGTGGCAACTCCACCGATGATAATCCAAGGGTGGACCACGGTTTACCCACCTGTGACTGCAGTTCCTCCCTCCTCAGCAGCATCCCGGAAACCTTTGATCATGAGTGGTGTTACCTTTTCTCACTCCTCCTCATTCATATTCTGGCCGACACTGAGTAACAGTAACATGTTGTCACATTCCGTGATGCCCATGGCGTAGAGGTCACTCAGCACGTTGGCACAAGCTATCCGCCCAATCATGTGCGGATCTTCCACCAAGGGGTAGAAGAAATCTGTGGTCTGCACCAGCGAAAGGCCTCCGTGTCTCAGGGGGATGACGCGGGAGTCCATCCTGATGCTCAGGGATGGTGAGGCCGGGCTGGGGCCCGCCCCGGGGCGCAGGCCAGCTTCCTGGGCCGCCTCTTCTTGGCCCCTCACCAGGCCGGAGGCCAGAGGGGCTGCTCCTCCGGCCACGTTAGCCCCGCCAGGAGTTTGAGCAGCGTCTCCTGGGGGACTTTGCAGCCTCAGCCTTTCATGCCGGAGAAGCCTGTCAGCCGCTAGCTCAGGCTGAGGCCCAGCGCCTGGGACTCGAAGGGCCGGTGGGTCGCGAAGCTCCGGCCGGGACTCAATCCCGGCGGGCCAGAGGAGCCTTCCGCCACCACCATGGCCGCCATCGCCTCTCCGCTGGCGCCCGCCACGACTTTCGCCATCGTGCTGGCCCGGCAGGGAGAGGGGAGAGGAGAGCAGGGGACTCTCTGATTTTCTACTCGTTAATCTGAAGTAACAGCCACATATTACCGAAGAGCTTCTTCAAGACTCGCCGGATACCACATAAGGTCTGAAACTCACAGCAATTTTGCTGCCTCTGCCTCCCGAGTGCCAGGATTGCAGACGTATGCCACCATACCTGGCCATGTGTCACATTTTTGAGAGCTTCTGAGATGATAATTTGTTGGTACCTAACAGGTGACCCTATGCTGTAAGGAGATGAATCTCTAGCCTGATGATGCACTTTTTCTAAACTAAATATATTGCATCCAAGGAGGAAAAACAAGGGGCACACTAAAATTCTAAATTCAAGATTAGCCTATGCCTCTTCTATGGTCCATGACCCAGCTTTTTTCCTAGCTCAGCACACATCTGACTTTCAAGTGGTTTTCTACAGTGTGTATATTAGAGGTTAGAATCCTTTTCCTTTTTAAAGTCCTGAAGTAGTTAGTGGATTAAAAGACCAGAACCAGCATCCCACTTCAGTTTGCTATTTTACCAAAAACTTTACTCTGAATATAATAATGATGACAAATTTTTTAAATGAAGTAAATGCATTTGAAGATGTTTTGTTGCTAATATTTAGCTTTAGTGCATCATAAGCAAACAGTATAGCTTCTGGATATATTTATGTTTATTTTCTACTTGTAAAATTTATTGATATTTTCCCAAAAAGAAATAAAGTCAATTTTGCAAATGTCAGTAAATGTAATATGCATATAAAATAATGTGTTTAGGTAAATAGTTTTATGTATTTCTATGTAATATATTCTCCCTCACTTTCATTGCTTCTGGGTATATAAACTCATTCTTGTTAATTTTGCTATTCAAATCTATACTTCACATATTGATTTGTTTTTAAAAATAAGTTTCAATTTATTTTCACATAAAATCAAATAGAACACATTTTCTGTTTCTTCTTGTTTACATCCTGCTAGACTGACTGAAAATATTTAAATAGGTTACAAGGTAGAATGAGGAAAAGTAGAATATTTGCATGAATAATGTAAGTTTCTTTACCGTGTGATTATTAATATTATGTAGAAATAGAAATACTTGTATTTGATCTGAAGAATGATTAGTAAATAAGAAAACATGTTAGTAGACTTTCTAGCGAGACCAGATGAGGACAATAAAAGCAAGAAAATATTGGAAGATATATGGTGCCATTTTTGTTATTTACTGTTATTAGTAGCAGAAACACAAACTGAACTGGCTTATGCAGTAAAAAATGTTTATTTCTCACATAGGAATGTTTCTTGTTAAAATGAGTTTTGGTGATAAACTTGTAGTGTATTAATACTATTTTTATAAACTCATTTTCTTTCTATATCAAGACAATTTTCCTCATACACTGTACAAGTGAAAGGACTATTTCGGGGACAGAGAAAGTAATTTTCTTTCCCAGTTCCTTATTACAAGAGTGAGGGAAATCTCTCCCAAATTATCTCCAACAAACCTGCCCTTGAAGTCATTGGCCGAAACTGAGTCACATCCGAATTTTTTTTTTGTACCCGGAATCGAACTCAGGAACTTGTGCTTGTCAGGCAGGTGACAGAACCACTGAGATAAATCCCCAGCCCACATATGCATTTTTGAATAAATCATGGTACCATTTATTTGACTCTCTTTAGAATGATAAATCTTGGCCTTGGAGGTAAGGTCATTTCTTCAAACTGATATTTGTTAATTGCTGGGTAGCATAATGGCCCGGGCCACGCCCATGGCACGGTGAGGTCTCAGAGGTGTCTTGCAGCCCCACCCCCACCTGACGCTCTCAAAGCTGCAGCGACCGGCTCCGTTGAGACAAGACAAGCAGCTTGGGGTTCCTGCGGCCGTCCCGGGCCATGCCCACGGCACGGTGAGGTCCGCTTAGCTTACAGAGTGTTCCACCCCGTAAAATCAGAATACACATTCTTTTCAGCTGCACACGGGTCATTCTCCAAAATAGACCACAT